ATGTGTCTCTTCAGATGACTCAGCTGACTGAACTGCCTGCTGCACTCCTCACACCTGTAGGGTTTCTCCCCTGTGTGAGTCCGCACGTGTGCCTTGAAATTACCAAGCTGACTGAACTGCTTGCTGCATTTTGCACACTTGTAGGGTTTCTCCCCTGTGTGAGTCCGCATGTGTCTCTTCAGGCTACCCAGCTGACTGAACTGTCTGCCACACTCCTCACATCTGTAGGGTTTCTCCCCTGTGTGAGTCCGCATGTGAGCCTTCAGACTATCCAGACGACCAAACTGCTTGCTGCATTCCTCACACCTGTAGGGTTTCTCCGCTGTGTGAGTCTGCATGTGTTTATTCAGAGTACCCAAATCACTGAACTGCTTGCTGCATTCCTCACATCTGTAGGGTTGCTCACCTGTGTGAGTCCTAATGTGTCTCTTCAGATGACTCAGCTGACTGAACTGCCTGCTGCACTCCTCACACCTGTAGGGTTTCTCCCCTGTGTGAGTCCGCACGTGTGCCTTGAAATTACCAAGCTGACTGAACTGCTTGCTGCATTTTGCACACTTGTAGGGTTTCTCCCCCGTGTGAGTCCGCATGTGGCTCTTCAGTTTACTCAGCTCACTAAACTGCTTGCTGCACTCCTCACACTTGTAAGGTTTCTCACCTGTATGAGTCCGCATGTGGGACTTCAAATTACTTAGCTGCCTAAACTGATTGCCACACTCCTCACACTTGTAGGGTTTCTCCCCTGTGTGAGTCCGCATGTGTGTCTTCAGACTATCCTGCCGACTGAACTGCTTGCTGCACTCCTCACACTGGTAGGGTTTCTCCCCTGTGTGAGTCCGCATGTGTTTCTTTAGACTATCCAGATAACTGAACTGCTTGCTGCACTCCTCACATCTGTATGTTTTTGTGGCAGATCTCCCATCCGATCCTTTTTTGATGCCATCAGAGCCATTGCTGTTTGTTGCCATGGTAACAAAAGCTGAATTCACCTCTGTAGTCCTGGAGTATGAAAATGACATTTCATTTCAACACAGTTTCTGCGTATCTTATCAGGCAAACACTAAAACTGAAGAAACTATCAAGTAGTCTTCAAATTTGCATCGAGAAAAGTAAGGATGACTTGGAAAGTTGTTGGTTGCTGGGATAGTTTTGACACTATGAGTTTGTTTGAACATTTATCTGTTGTTGCAAAACTTAAATTGGCCTGTTGTGTAGGGTCGAAATTAATGACACTTCTCAAAAAGAAGAGCTATCACTTTTGCAAAAATTATCATCATTGCTTATCCAGAACTTTTCCCCAATACAACATAAAAAACACCAGAAGTTCTACTGCAGTTGCTAGGAAATCTGCCGTATTGCTAAAAACGTAATCATTTTATCAGTGGGACAATATTAGACCAAATTTCATGACAATCCATCCAAAGCCTACTGAGATATGCTGCTAAACCACATACTGTACATAGAAATGTAAGAAACTATACAACCTTTTCTTGGAGAAGTTAATAATATGTCCTTACCTGCAAAATATCTTTTATAAAGAGTGCTGATGTCTGGATTAAGCCAGGCGATGCCTCACTGTTTTCCCTTTCAGCCGGGCAGGCAGCACTACTGGACTATGGAATCCTGTTTTCCTTTCAGCACTACTGGACTATGGAATCCTGTTTCCCTTTCAGCACTACTGGACTTTGGAATCCTGTTTTCCTTTCAGCACTACTGGACTATGGAATCCTGTTTTCCCTTCAGCACTACTTGACTATGGAATCCTGTTTTCCCTTTCAGCACTACCGGACTAAGGAATCCTGTTTCCCTTTCAGCACTACTGGACTATGGAATCCTGTGGAAAATGGAAAACAAAAACTGTCATCAGAAAGCCTGCATTTCCTTCAAATATCCCATTAGTCGACAAAGCTTCGTTCTAAGTAGTTAATGTACCACCCCTAACTCCCCCTCAATCAATACCGCAACATGTACGAGACTTAATGAACCTCCCCTCACTCCAGACCTTTCCTCCATGATAGAAACCAGATGTCTGGGACCGTTACGAGGCACATTTGGGGGTTTCCAGAATATTTCACCTCGAAACAACTTCTAAATTTCAACCCCAAAATTACCCTTTGTATGCAAAATCAACTGTGGATTATAGAAAGGCGTTTGTATTATATTTGTACAATAAGCAAGCACTCTTGTTGTCGTGTTTGATTTCCAATATTCAAGGAGACCGCATAACCGCTTCTAGACCTTCGCCGAGGTGTAAACAACTTTTTTCAGACAAATTTTGAAACGATCTACGCCATTTTTACACCTACAAGGGCACAACAAAACAAATAAGAAAGTTTGCGTACGTGTGCTGCTCTACATAAACTCTGTTGTTTCTGACAGAAACGTCTTTTCATACAAGAAACCGTTGCTTTTCGAGCAGTATAGAACTTGTCACAAGCGGCACACACGTCGCTAGCGGCTAGCTAGTGAGAGACTCAGAGAGCGTAAAACAAACTTGTACGTGTTATTCTCCTGTCACATCGATAACTGTAGAGTAGACAAGCTTTTGGTACGTACCTGGGTCGTATGTAGGATGAAATCCCGACGATCTGAACCGAAAAAGGCTCGTAGAAAGACGACGAGAAACCCTCGATACTTTCTTCCTCACCACACGTCTGGTGGACGGAGACACGGGGGTTAGCGGAATGAGCTCCGCGGAGATGGGATTCATAATGAGGCGGCGGAGGCGGTTTCTTGTTACTAGTACACTATGCTCCGCGGAGTTCGAACTCTAGTGTCAGCATGTGAAACTTTGTCAACAGATTTCTTTTGGATAAAAGACTGGAGCATAAGAAGACTGTAAAGCTAGGAAGATTAGGTCTCCATGCTCCATTTCAGATTATCAAAATTTGAAACAACTTTGAATGACAGGAGCTTTATAAGTCCAAGGGGTGTCAACCTTCAACTCTGCACCAGTCTTGCAAAATAGGGGCAATTATCACAGCTACCGCTAGGCGGCGCTTGGGCCTACGGGGCGAATCCTTTTTCTGGGCTTGTATTCTATTTGACTAGACCCTGATTCTTAGTTACTCATTTAGCGGTTATTTTTTAAATTTATTTATTCGTTCGGCTGTTAAAAAGACAAATTGTACAGCCAGGGCAGCCCAACTAGCCAGGAGGCTATTATTAAGGGCTTGCCCTGCTGACAGGACAAACATTTACACGCACGATACAACAATACAATACATTAACGTGGAGAGGTCAGGGTCATACACCTAAGGCTTATAGGGGTCGCCTAGAGAGTCCCATAGCTTCCTTTTAAAGGAGGCAATAGTGGTGGCAGTGCGAGCGTCAGTGGAGAGAGTGTTCCAAAGTGACGTTGCTCGGTGAAAGAATGTTCTCTGGCCTCTGGTGGTTTTGGTAAGTTCAACAGTCAGGTGGTTGCTGTTCCTGAGGGGATAGCGGGACTCAGTAGCAGATGCACGGGTTCTGGGTATCAGGGTTTGGAGGTGTGGCGGACAGTGGCCGTTAAGGAGCTTGTACAGGGTGGTGACTGTATGGAGTCTCCGTCTGAACTGAAGTGATGGAAGGGACAGTTGGGTGTACAAGGTTCATTTAGCGGTTCTGTAGTTATATACATATTCACATGTCAAAGATTATGAATTTATGGATCAGGGTGTTTCATTACTTTGCACATATTCTTCACATCTGCAACCAGACCAGAGTTAGAAACAAACGCATATCCAAAATTCAAAAAGAACATTTATTTTGAACAAATGAAAACATTGAACAAACCCATGTTCACATAAAAGCTCAAAAGGCCACCTACCTTATATACATTATACATGTACTTGAATAGTAAATATTAGGCTCTATAACATCTACCTGTTAGTTTTATTGCTACAAAATGTAATACAGCAAAAATAAAAGAATATCATCAAAAAAAATCTAATCTATATGCAATTATAACTGCATGCATTAATTCTGTCATTTGTGGCAACCATTAGTCAGAAACAAGAGAACAAATACTGGTCTAAATAAACTGATTCTATAAATATCTAGTTTAACAGAATAAAATTTAACATGCTAATATTGGATGGGATGGTAATCCATCTATAAAAACAAGAAAACAAATGCTACATTAAATAATCTGACCCTAAATATCTAGAGGTTAACAGTATAAACAAAAAAAAAAACATACTAATAGTGGATGGTAATCCTATAAAAAAAACTTAAATTTAAAACAAATTAAGTTAGGTTAGTTAACTTTATATACAGTATTTTGCATCCCCTATATCAGTAATATTGTTATGCTATGCTAATAATGCTATGGAAAGCTACACGCAGTCCTATGTATGCAAGGAACAAAACATTCTATGAAAGACACTAAAGCAAACTTTACACAAAGTTTTAAAGTCACTGGTTGTAGTATATCATGGAGAGCTAATACAGGGCTTTTCATTTACCAGTTTGATTCCTCACTCGCACAATATACAGAGTTAAGGGGTTCAACTGTTGGAAATAAAAAAAAGATCTTAATCTTGTACAACATGTCCACAATCTGAGTATTCCTTCGATTTTTTTCCTCTATGGTTTTTCACATGATCAGATTTCTCTAAGTCTGCACACAGCTTGAGTTATTCCAAAATCTCCCACTTAAGAGTTTGCATGTGTTGCTTGCAATGTATGACCGAGGTGATTAAACAGTTTGCTGAACTCCTCACAGTTAGAGTTTCTTCCCTGCCAGACTTTGCAAGCTGAATATTTCATAGGACCTGGCTCACAACTCAATCCTCAAAACTGTGAGGTTTTGTACTCCTCAGTCACACCTGTATTAGGCTGTAAGGTTTCTCACAGGTGTGTCTGCATGTGTTTCATCATAGAGCCCAGCTGACTGAACTGCCTACTGCAGTTTCTCTCCTGTGTGAGTCCGCATGTGAGCCTTCAGACTATCCAGCCGACCAAACTGCCTGCTGCACTCCTCACACTTGTAGGGTTTCTCCCCTGTATGAGTCCGCACGTGTTTCTTCAGATTACCCAAATCACTGAACTGCCTGCTGCACTCCTCACACCTGTAGGGTTTCTCACCTGTGTGAGTCCGCATGTGTGCCTTGAGATTACACAAATGACTGAACTGCCTGCTGCACTCCTCACACCTGTGCGGTTTCTCACCTGTGTGAGTCCGCATGTGGTCCTTCAGACTACCCAGCTCACTAAACTGCCTGCCACACTCCTCACACCTGTAGGGTTTCTCACCTGTGTGAGTACGCATGTGTTTCTTCAGACTATTCAGCACACTGAACTGCCTGCTGCACTTCTCACACCTGTAGGGTTTCTCACCTG